GGAATTATGGAATTTGGGAATTATGGAATTTGGGAATTGTGGGATTTTGGAATTATGGGATTTGGAAATTATGGAATTTGGGAATTGTGGGATTTGGGAATTATGGAATTTGGGAATTGTGGGATTTGGGAATTGTGGGATTTGGGAATTATGGAATTTGGGAACTGTGGTATTTGTTTTAGTCAAACATATATGCTACTATAATTAACAAACCTAAATATACAATATTTTAATTCAATTAATATAAATAAATTTTGAACATAAATTTCTTTATTTCTAAACAAATACCAGCAATAAAGTGCTATCGAATTCCTCTACATTTTGCAATCTTGAAGAAAATCACGAGGTATCCGTTCATCGATCGTCTAATTCATCAAAGGTATCCAACTCCTCCCCCAGAAATCTAGTTTCTTTTCCCCAGAGTAGCGCATTGGCGTGTTATAGTAACTGGAGCGTGCAGGTACCGGTCCCGATACGATAAACGGTCCTTTACTACCGGTTTTCCGGCTCTGTCGTGTGTTAATAAGCGTTTATGCAACTATTTCGACGGAATGCCACGAAACCGTTACGAGATCAGTTACCATTTTTACGAACGAACGATCTGCTGTTAATTATTATCTCTACGTGTTATGCTGTCGTTGATCTCGATAGAACCTTTTTCGATCGCTTTTAAGAGAATTGCTTTTTGTTTGCCCGTTCTTATTTTCGATTCTCTCGATTGCTCGCGATTTAATGCATCGACACGTTTCTAGTGGGCCGATGTGTTTAAAGGATTTATTTGTATAGCGTCTATCGAGATTACATTCACTCTTTTCATATTTAAATGATTCTGGAGGTGGAATTTTATGATGGCGCTCGGTTAATTAGGGAGATGTTTCAATTATTATTTCTTTGGGATTTTTATTTCTTTAGCGTGAATTTTTAGTGATTTATTCCTTAGTTGTACTGTATTTAAATATATTTTTATTATATTTCTGAATTTTTATTGATTTATGAATTTGTTGTTTGTGATATTAAAATCACAATTCTCTTAAATTTCTTGAACTCACATACCTAACTTCAATCTTCTCTTACATACCCCCACAATCCCCAAATCCCACAATTCCCAAATCCCACAACTTCCAAATCCCACAATTCCCAAATTCCATAATTCCCAAATTCCATAATTCCCAAATCCCACAATTCCCAAATCCCTCAACTCCCAAATCCCACAATTCCCAAATCCCACAATTCCCAAATCCCATAATTAGCAAATCCCACAATTCCCAAATCCCATAATTCCCAAATCCCATAATTCCCAAATTCCATAATTCCCAAACCCCACAATTCCCAAATCCCTCAACTCCCAAACCCCTTAATTCCCAAATCCCACAATTCCCAAATCCCTCAACTTCCAAATCTCACAATTCCCAAATCCCACAATTCCCAAATCCCACAATTCCCAAATCCCACAATTCCCAAATCCTCGAATTCTTAAACTCATCTTCCAACGTTTCCAAATTTCCAAATCCCCAAATTCCCTAAACCCTCAGCTCCCAAATTCCGCATACACGAAATCCCCAAAATTCTCAAATTCCCAATTTATCAAGTCTCCAAAGGACTCCAAAAAATTCGTCATATGTCCACTTTCAGTCTTCCCCGATTTTCCAACTCAGAAATTCCACAAGCATTCCGTATACCACGTTTATCTTCAAAATTAATTCTCCGCATTTCGGGACAGGCTCAAGGATTGTTTCGTGCGAGTATGCAATAAAAAGAGCAGTATAGTACGAAGTACCGTTGTTACGCAGCGTTGGACGTTTTTCTGTGGCGACGGATCGGCCGGGACGTTTCTATGCGTTAATGCAATCTCGGCAAATAAATCTGAAGTAATACTGTTATACGTCCTATCTCGTCGCCGATATTAAATGTTGAAGAGGGACAGATAGGTGGGGATGCAGACAGATAACGATAGGGGGGAAATATTAAAATCGATACAGGACTGCACAAATAAAAGTGTCCTTTTTCTACGCATTTCCTGTAAACTTCCTTCTATATTCAGTCGTGCGTATTATATTTTATATTCAAGTAATAAAATTGAATTTTGTATTCAAGTTTTAAAATTGTATTTTCATATTCAAGTGATAGAATTGAATTTTATATTCAAGTTTTAAAATTGTATTTCCATATTCAAGTAATAAAATTGAATTTTGTAATTAAGTTTTAAAATTGTACTTTCATATTCAAGTAATAGAATGGAATTCTGTAATCAAGTTTTAAAATTGTATTTTCATGTTCAAGTCATAAAATTGAATTCTATAATCAAGTTTTAAAATTGTATTTTCATATTCAAGTAATGAAGTTGAATTCTGTAATCAAGTTTTAAAATTGTAGTTTCATATTCAAGTAATAAAATTGAATTTTGTAATCAAGTTTTAAAATTGTATGTTCATATTCAAGTAATGAAATTGAATTCTATAATCAAGTTTTAAAATTGTATTTTCATATTCAAGTAATGTAATTGAATTCTGTAATCCAGTTTTAAAATTGTATTTTCATATTCAAGTAATGAAATTAAATTTTACATTCAACTAGTAAAATTGAATATAAAATTCAATTATACAATGTTTATTAAATTTGCCCAAAATTTGTATAACAGATTTATGAAGGCAATATTAATGTCTTTTTTAAATTCATTAAATTATGAAGATATTAAAGCATCATAAGAATAAACTTGAAAATGAAGATAATAATTTGGTCCAAAATTCCCAATTTCCGAAGATGTTCTATACGTGTCTGATGTATAAACACTTATGGTTGTAGGTGACGTCCCACCTGTCAGTGACAGTCTACGTGGAGGACATAAACGACCATGCACCGCAATTTGTCGATGCACCTTATCATGTAACCGTGGACGAGCTAACCCCAGTCGGTGAGATCAACCGCATACGAACTAGCCATAAGTATCGAACTTTCGTGATGCAACTCCCGACGTGAAAATTCAATTTCGCGCTGGAAGATCATGACCAGATATCGTAACCAAAAATTGTTGCTTTCTAGATTAAACACTTTCTTCGTATGCTCAACTTTCGTTACGAGAATTTCTTTTACATGTTTTATTTATTATTTTTCCTGTTTATTTGTTAGTCTTCTGATTTAGAAATTTTTTATTTGTTATTGATATTGAATTAATGTGATATTGAATTAACTTGTTATTGAATTAATTATTATAACGATTATGTTTATTAGGGTTTATTTATTAATATCGTTGATTGATATTGATAATTTTCAAATTAGCATAAATTTTTAGATTTATTAATTTAGATGGATTTAACTTGAGGAACATTCAAATTTCCCGCCAAAAGTATCAGTTCTTAAGACAGTTATGGCTTGTAAGAGTAAATGTTGCTTTCTTAAGATTTTAATTTCTGAATTGATATGATTTATCAATGATGAATTTATTCTTCATTTTTCACGCTGCTAGGAGATTTATATTGTATCATCGAGAAAGCTTAAGCCGATCAATGGAACGTCTACGGCTGATTGGAGATGTGGAAAGCGTAGTTAACACTTTGACTGCCATTTTAGATTTATTAAGACCTAATAAATAGTAACTTTACTTTTAATGTATCTAATTGACTATTTTAATAATTTCTAGCTAGTTTAAACTGTTCTTTCTAGAGTTTAATGCAATTGAAATTCTCAAATTTTCAAGTTTCCAACCTAACCTAACGTAACCTAACCCAGTCATTTGTAGCTAGTTTTAAATGTTCTTTCTAGAATTTAATGAAATTGGAATTCTTACATTTCAAAACTCAAATTTTGATATTCTGAAATTTTTATATTTTCTAAATTCTCAAATTTGTTAAATTCTCAAACCTCAACTTCGCAAATTTCTAAATTCCCTAGTTCTCAAATCCCCAAGCTCTCAAGTTCCCAAATTCTCAAATTCCCAAATTCTCAAATTTCTAAATTCCCTAGTTCTCAAATCCCCAAGCTCTCAAATTCCCAAATTCTCAAACCCCCAAACTCTCAAATTTCCAAATTCTCAAATTCCCAAATTCTCAAATCCCCAAACTCTCAAATTCCTTAGTTCTCAAATCCCCAAACTCTCAAATTTCCAAATTCTCAAATTCCCAAATTCTCAAATCCCCAAACTCTCAAATTACCTAGTTCGCAAATTCCCAAATTCTCAAATCCCCAATCTCTCAAATTCCCTAGTTCTCAAATTCCCAAGTTCTCAAATTCCCAAATTCTCAAATCCCCAAACTCTCAAATTCCTTAGTTCTCAAATCCCCAAACTCTCAAATTCCCAAGTTCTCAAATTCCCAAATTCTCAAATCCCCAAACTCTCAAATTCCTTAGTTCTCAAATCCCCAAACTCTCAAATTTCCAAATTCTCAAATTCCCAAATTCTCAAATCCCCAAACTCTCAAATTACCTAGTTCGCAAATTCCCAAATTCTCAAATTCCCAATCTCTCAAATTCCCTAGTTCTCAAATTGCCAAATTCTCAAATCCGCCAACTCTCAAATTTCCAAATTCTCAAATCCCCAAACTCTCAAATTCCCAAATTCTCAAATCCCAAATTCTCAAATCCGCAAATTTTTAATCCCAACTTCCAGCATTCCCAAGTGCTCAAATCCCCAAATTCTCAAACCCCAAATTCCATCACTCTTCTCTCCAAATCCCCCAAAATTCCTTAATCTCCAACCATCCAAATACCCCCAAATCCATTTCCTTTTCCTCAAATTTCAAAAACATCGAATTCCAAAGACCTCTTGAGATCTCCACCTCCCAAATTCGCATGGTTCCAAATTTCTAACCTTCCATCATAATCCTATAGGGTCCCTAGATACCTTAATCCGTCCCTGGCAGCCTTAAACGACTTGCGGACCTGTCAGCCTTAAATTGTTAAGTCACCCAATTACCGATCATATAATCAGTTATTCCCAATTACCGATCAGATAATCAGTTATCCCCAATTACCGATCAGGTAATCAGGTATAATAAATCAAGGTACCCCGCTCAAATCACCTGAATTCGCAGGTGTGACGATATTCCGTGGGATCCACGCGGTCGACGGTGACAAACCCAATACACCGAACAGCGATATCCACTACGCGATAGTGAAAGGCAACGAGCAGGGTAAATTTTCACTGGAATCCGGCCACAGAACCGCTCTTATACTTCGCAAACCGGTGGACTACGACAACGGCGATCGAGAGTTCACGCTGGTCATTGCGGCCACGGTGAGTACACGATATGATATTGCACGCAGCGATTCTTCCAGTAGAAAAGTCAAGCCACGGTGAAAGTTCTCTTTAACATCGACGTTGTTAATTCTCGTAACGAGCCTCTTGTTTTACTTTGCCTCCGAGGCATACTTTAAATTGGGATCCTGACCGGAGTACATTGTGGCTTCTTAACCTAAGATTGTTTCGATGTAACCCTTTTGACACTTTCACTGGCAGGTGGCCGGTTTTGATGGTTGTTTGAGTTTCTCTTTTTTGTTTGGTGGATTATGTTATTGGTGAAATGAAATATCATAAGTAATGATAGGTAGCCTAGTAGTATTATAACAAGAGGATTGGTTTTTGGAGGGTTAGTTTTTGGAATGTAGTGATGGGTTTGAGCTGTGATCGAGTTTGATCTGAACGTTTGAGGTTGACGTTTGTAGGTGGATAATGTTATTGATGAGATGAAATATCATAAGTAATGATAGGTAGCCTAGTAGTATTATAACAAGAGGATTGGTTTTTGGAGGGTTAGTTTTTGGAATGTAGTGATGGGTTTGAGCTGTGATCGAGTTTGATCTGAGCGTTTGAGGTTGACGTTTGTGGGTGGATGATATTACTGATGAGATGAAATATCATTAGTACTAATAAGTAGTCTAGTAGTATAAAAATAATAGGGTTGGTTTTTGAGGGGTTAGTTTTTGGAATGTAGTGATGGGTTTGAGTTGCGATCGAGTTTGAACTGAACGTTTGAGGTTGACGTTTGTGGGTGGATGATATTACTGATGAGATGAAATATCATTAGTACTAATAAGTAGTCTAGTAGTATAAAAATAATAGGGTTGGTTTTTGAAGGGTTAGTTTTTGGAATATAGCGATGGGTTTGACTTGTGATCGAGTTTGATCTGAGCGTTTGAGGTCGATGTTTGTGGTCATTGAAAGGAGAAATTTCTGTGTTTGAACGTTTGTAGATTTCGAACTTTTTGTAGGATCGAGGTGTTCCAGCAAAAACTACGAATACAACTGTGAAGATTACTATTGTGGACAATGACGATCTCGATCCGAAGTTCACTCGTGATGTCTATAGGGCGAAGATTTATGAATTCTACCCGATGCCGGTAAATATATTATCAAATTAATTTTTTCATTGTTTCATTGTTTCAAAGATTTGTGTTTTTATTATTTATCATTTATTATTCTTTTTATTGTTATACATTTCTATCCAATAATTATAATATTTCAATTTTCCTATAAATAACATGCTCGAATTTTAATTTTTATTATTTTAACATTGCATGTATGTATGAATGCTTCATATCAAGTGATGATACCATTAATATTATTAATTTATATTAAAATTGATTAATTTTAATTATTACTGCATATTATATAATACAAATGCTATACAATATTATATAATATGTATTAATTTATATTACATGCTATCATACATTGCATATTTTAAATTGTAATTCATGTTACATATTATATATTGCATAATATAAATTATAATTCATGTTACATACTATATATTGCATAATATAAATTATGATTCATGTTACACATTATATATTGCATAATATAAATTGTAATTCATGTTGCATATTATATATTGCATAATATAAATTATAATTCATATTACATATAATATATTGCATAATATAAATTATAATTCATATTACATATAATATATTGCATAATATAAATTATAATTCATATTACATATAATATATTGCATAATATAAATTATAATTCATATTACATATAATATATTGCATAATATAAATTATAATTCATATTACATATAATATATTGCATAATATAAATTATAATTCATATTACATATAATATATTGCATAATATAAATTATAATTCATATTACATATAATATATTGCATAATATAAATTATAATTCATATTACATATAATATATTGCATAATATAAATTATAATTCATATTACATATAATATATTGCATAATATAAATTATAATTTATGTTGTATATCATATATTGCATAATATAAATTATAATTTATGTTGTATATCATATATTGCATAATATAAATTATAATTTATGTTGTATATCATATATTGCATAATATAAATTATAATTTATGTTGTATATCATATATTGCATAATATAAATTATAATTTATGTTGTATATCATATATTGCATAATATAAATTATAATTCATGTTACATGTTATATATTGCATAGTATAAATTGTGATTCATGTTGCATTTTATATATTGCATAATATAAATTGTAATACATGTTGAATATTATATATTGCATAATATAAATTATAATTTATGTTGTATATCATATATTGCATAATATAAATTATAATTCATATTACATATAATATATTGCATAATATAAATTATAATATATATTGTACATCACATATCACACAACATAAATTCATATCACACGTCACACATCATACCCCACAAATTACAATTCACAACTTACAACACTTAAAATTAAAACCCTACCTCCACATCAAAGTAATAAACCGCGAGTAATAAAAGACCACACACAGCCGTGTTTAAAAACTGTAAAACCCAAAGCATATTTCAAACACAAGATCCTCGATCTAGCAAATTAATCAGATAATCGGTCGATGGTATCTCGCTGACGCAATCGGTTGATGCGGCAACAGAGCGCATCACGTTATAGTTGTATAAAAGCGGCGATAATTAAGCGGCCGCGGAGATTAGTTAATTATGCAATCGCGAAGAGCGGCTCCGCCATTTACGTTAGATATATCCGCCGGCAATGACCGCGTCAACGCTGGATGATCGTCGATGGAAGTCGCGTATTACGGAACAAACGTACCCCGGGAACTTTCTACGTAGTCATCGAGGCGCATCGCTTCCTTCGGTCACGTTGCATGCACGACATTAACCCTTTCGCGGTGCCGTTTCTTTTTACATTTTTCTTACATTGTTTTCACATTTTTCCGTAAAAAGCGTACAACTATTCGAATTTGTTTGAGGTGATTAGCTAGGGAATTTATTGCTGTACCTCCTACCCATTAAATCTGAGGAGCATTGCAAGATTTATTAATCAATTATAGTTAGATATTAATTACATAATTAAGTTTCGATTAATAAACGTCACTTATGAGATAAGTTAATGTTTGCAGTTTGGAAAGTATATTTTCATGTCCTGTAATTGGTCAGAACTAAATCCCTAGATTCGCAATGTTTTTAGGCATGAAATCTCTAGAGTTTGAGATCATTGGATTTAAATATATTCGAATACTAAAGTAACTAGATACATGAAATCAAGTATTCTGAAATCTGTAGAATAACAAATCCCTAGATTCTGAGATCTGTATGAGCAAAATTCCCTAGATCCCCAAATACTTATGTTAGAAAATCCGTATATTTTAAAATCTGTAGGAACCAAATTCCCTAGATTACCAAAAATTATGTTACAAAATCCCTGGATTCCAAAACCTGTAGTAATAAAATTCCCTAGTTCTAAAAATTATTGGGTTCTGAAATTCCTAGATTCCAAAATTTGTAGGAAGCAAATTCCCTAGATTACGAAATACTTGGATCCTGATATCCCTAGATTCTGAAATCCCTAGATCTCCAACTAAATATATTATGAAATTCCTAGATTCCAAAATCCCTAGTTCTCGAAATGAATACATTATGAAATCCCTATATCCCAAAATCTGCAGGAGCTATATTCCCTAGATTACCAAATCCTTATGTTACAAAATCCCTAAATTCAAAAATATGTAGGAACAAAATGCCCTAGATCCCAAAATTCTTGGGACCAGAAATCCCTAAATTCTGAAATCTACAGGTTCCAAAATCCCTAGATCTCAAAACATTTAGGTCCTGAAATCCCTAGGTTCAAAAATCTCTAAGAATAAAATTCCCTAGATCTAAAAATTCTTGGGTCCAGAAATCCCTAGCTACTGAAATCTGTATATTACAAAATTCCCAGCTTCTACCATCTGTAGGAAGAAAATTCCCTAGATCACCAATTACTTGGGTCCCGAAATCCCTAGATACTGAAATCTGCATATTACAAAATCCCCAGCTTCTAAAATCTGTGAAAACAAAATTCCCTAGATCACCAATTACTTGAGTCCTGAAATCCTTAGATTCTGAAATCAGTAGGTCCCGAAATCCCTAGATCCAAAAATTTCCAAATTTCTCGATTCTAAACTTGCAACATTCACGTTAAACTAGTAATAATCCAAATATCTATCAAGATTTTCTAAATAATTAAATATTACATTCATCTATAATTACTAGATCATTGTATAACATAATAAAAGAAAATTCAGCTCCACTATTTCTGAAATTAAAAGAGTAAATTACCGTCAAAGCTACGGAACGTGTCCATACAAAAAACTTCCGCGCATTTCTACTTTCTTAATTAGAAACTCGTAAACGCCATCCATAAACATATCCCCGTATATCTAGTTACGTCGACACCATATCATAGACTTACGTAAGTTTACGTGCATCCAGAAAATAAATAAAAAATGTAAAGAAAATCTCAGCAGGTAGTAGAAGTTGTCCCTGTTAGACCCGGAGCCGTCGAAGCGATATAAATTAACGGAAACCGGGAATCGAACGCGCTTTCGCAGCGAGTCTCGTTTACCGAGCGTTAGCTAACCGCCCGACAGTTAACCGCGGCGGATAAATCGCCGGCGCGAGCTCGAAAGTCGAACGGTCCGCGATATTTATCGCGAATTGAATTGCACGATCGTGTTTTCCTTCGGAACGAAATTTATACCTCAAGGTTCTCCGGCTAACAGAAAGTATTAACCTCTGACATTCGCAGCGTGCGCGATGTGGCACAGCCTAGATTGCGGGCGTCGCGTGTGTAACAGAAACGCTCGAGCGAGACGATTTGTCGCGACGAACGGAGCTAATAATGAGACCGTGGGACATTATCGAATTTCACGAATCACTTGCGAAATGTACAGTCCACTGCAAATATGCTGTCTTAGATGACAATAATGGAGATATGTATGTAGGGGTGTAGATGGAGAGGGATAGTTGGTGGTTTATTTTTAGGTGGGTAGATTTGGAAGTTGGAGGTTTTAGGGATTTGGGGGACGAGAAATTGAGGAACTGGGGATTTGGGGATTTTTGGTTTTGGGTGATTTGAGAGGTGAGAGATTAGGAAATTGAGGAATAGGAAGGTGGAAATTTGGGAATTATGGAGTTTGGTACTTAGGGAATTAAGGTATGGGAGTATTAAGGAATTAGGGAGTTGGGAAATTAGGGAATCAGGGAAATAGAAAATTAGAGAATTACGTAATTGTGGAAATAGGAAATTAGGGGCTTAGGGAGTAGGGATATTAGGAAGTTAGAGAATTAGGGAATTGGGAAATTGGAGAATCAGGGATTTAGGGAGTTAGGAAATTATGAAGTTCGGGAATTAGGAAATTAGGAAATTGGGAAATTGGAGAATTAGGGAGTCCAGGTATTAGGGAGATAGGAAATTAAGGAATTGGGAAATTGGGAAAATGGAATATTGGGAAATTGGAAAATTGGGAAATCGGGAATTTGGGAAATTGGAGAATTGGGGAATTGGGGAATTAGGGAGTCGGGGAATTAGGGAGATAAGAAATTAGGAAATTCGGGAATTAGGAAATTGGGAAATTAGGAAATTGGGAAATTAGGAAATTGGGAAATTGGGAAATTGGGAAATTGGGAAATTGGGAAATTAGGAAACTGGGGAATTAGGGAATCGAAGTACTAGGGAGATAGGAAATTAGGGAATTGGGGACTTAGGAAATTGGGAAATTGGAATATTAGGAAATGGGAAAATTGGAAAATTGGGAAATTGGGAAATTGGCAATTTGGGAAATTGGAGAATTGGGGAATTAGGGAGTCGGGGAATTAGGTAGATAGGAGATTAGGAAGTTCGGGAATTAGGGAATTGGTGAATTAGGAAATTCGAAAATTTGGAAAATTAAAAAATTAGGAAGTTCAGGAATTAAGGAATTGTGGAATTAAAAAATTAGGGAATTAAGGAGTTAGGGAATTAGAAGGTCAGTGAACTTGGGAAAACTTGTGAATTCGAAAATTTGAGTACTCTAAGATTTCGAATCCTGAAAACTTAATAACTCTAAAACGTAAAAACCCAAAACCTTGAAAACTTTTTCATATCATCTCCCATCCGAACGAAGCCTAAGTTTTATCAGAGTGTACGCAGCACTGTGAACTCGTCTCACATAAAATTCACTCTGAAAGGTTTGCGAGCGTTTAACCGTGAAACTCGATTTAATGGACTTCCGTCGGGGTCCTTCGTCAGGGACGATCGTTTGTGGCCTGGATGAAATTGCTCCTCCGGGATGGATCTTAAGAAGTAAACAATATCTGGAAATTCTAGAGGTGTTCAGTATCCAATGGAATGTTATGATTCAATAATACATTCAGAAACTTTCTTTATGAAGAAAGTCACTGACCTTGAAATCAGTGACCTCCACTTAATCCTCAGTAGAAAATTCGATTAATAAATCTTGTCACTAATAAATAAATGAATTATTTTTAACTAGAACAAAATTATGTATTACCTAAACATACTTGTATGTCTACCTAATAAACCTTGAAAACCTTAAAAACCTTGTAAACCTTGTAAACCTTGAAAGCCTTGAAAAAGCTTGTATCATGAAATTGTTTTTAATATTAAATTTTATACTACTATAAACAATAACACCTAACCAACAATGACAATAACTATAAATTTTTATCTTCACTTATCATTGAAACCATATTGAATTAGTAACAGTATTTAAAGTCTAAAATCCACTTACTTTTCATATATTGCAGGATTACCCCATCTTCATGCAGATCAACTTCACCACACCGATCCAAGCAACCGATTGCGACCGCGACATCAACGTGGCCGTCCGTTACGACATCATATCAGGAAACGAGCGAGGCTTCTTTCACTTGGACCCAAAAAATGGCACCCTGTACCTAAAACGAGCTATCGATCTGGACGCCGAGAGAAATCTGCCATCGAACACTTTCAGCTTGCAAATCCACGCTTCGCAGGTAGACAACCCTTTAAAAACGGCGGTGGCTCGAGTAGAGGTCGAGGTGTTGGACCTGAACGATAATCTGCCGGACTTCGAGGTGGACCTCTACAACATCAGCATCGTGGAGAATTTACCGAACGGATTCAGTGTTCTTCAAGTGATCGCTCGTGATCGTGATCAGGGAGAGAACGGACAGTTCGATTACGAATTGCAGGATCCGTCGGGTGCCTTCTCTGTGGACGCGAAGTCTGGGTGGCTGACGGTGAAGGACCAGTCGGTTCTGGATAGGGAGAAGAGGGACCATCTGAGAATGAAGGTGCAAGGTTTTTTGAATTTGAGGAAAGTTGGATGTGGGTACTAGTGGAGTTAGGGTGATCGATTGGTTACGGGTTATTCTATTTGATATATGCAGTAGGTGGTTGGAAATATGATGAGTTGAAAATCTTTGAGATATGTGAATTTGATGATTAGGGAATTTATTAACATTTAAATAGGTTCCAGGGACTTTGTACAATCAAATAATGAAATTACCTACTTTCTCAAATCTCAAAATTCCCTAGGGCCAATATTTCCTAGTTGGCACCTTCCCAAATCCCAAAATTCCCTAGTCCCCATCTTCTCAGATACCAATACTCTCTAGTTTCCACTTTCCCTAATCCCAAAATTCTCTAGTTCCCACCTTTCCAAATCCCAATATTCCCTAGTTACCATCTACCCCAATCCCAAAACTCCCTAGTTCCCATATTCTAAAATCCCGAAATTCCCTAGGCTCAATACTGCCTACTCCCCACCTTCCCAAATCCCACAACTCTCTAGTTCCCATCTTCTAAAACTCCAAAATTCCCTAGTCCCCACCTTCCCAAATCCTAATACTCCCTAGTTTCCGCCGTCCCAAATCCCAAAATTCCCTAGCCCCCACCTTCCCAAATCCAAATATTCCCTAGTCCCCATCTTCTCAGATATCAATACTCTCTGGTTCCCACCTTCTCCAATCCCACAACTCCCAAGTTCCCATATTCTAAAATACCGAAATTCCTTAGACTCAATACTGCCTAGTCCCCATCTTCCAAAATCCCAATACTCCCTAGTTCCCACTTTCCTAAATCCCAAAATTCCCTAGTCCCAACACTCTCTAATTTCCACCTTCTCAAATCCCAAAATTCCCTAGTCTCCACCTTCCCCAGTCCCAATACTCCCTAGTTCCCACCTTCCCAAATCTCACAACTCCCTAGTTCCCAACTTCTCAAATCCCGAAATTCCCTATTCCCAGTATTCTGTAGATCCCACCTTCCCAAATCCCAGAAGTGTTCCAGTTCCCACCTTTTCTAATCCCGAAATTCCCTAGTCCCCACCTTTCCGAATCCCAATATTCCCTAGTCCCCACCTTCTCAAATCCTAATATTCTCAATATTCCCTCAACATCTAATTAGGTTCTACGGACTTAGTACATTCAAATAACCAAATTACTAGTCACATCAATTATTCTAACCTCCACCTTAACAATCCTCCTGTCCACTTAAATCTCCACACAATCTCCCACAAGTCTCAAACCTAGGAACATAGATGCTAGTTAAACCTAATACTAGTTGAACAATACCATGTAGTACTACGTCATATCAATTTGACTTGAATCCAAAAGTAAAAGCGCTTGCTAACCCAATCACAACTGAAACAGGTCGTCGCCATAGAACGAAAACCCAGCGTAGTCCACAATGCAAACGGTTCCTCCGTGGACGTCGAAGTGACGTTACTAGACGCAAACGACAACAATCCAATCTTTGTGCCTGGGAATCTCTACGAAATGATAGCCAAGACCGACTACAAGGTGGGCACCGTGCTAGGACAGGTTCACGCGGTCGACGAGGACCTGGGTCCCAACGGCATGGTCAGATACAAGCTCCAGAAACCTGGAAATTCGTCTACTAGGACTCCACCGTTCACCGTGGACGAAATCACTGGTATGATCACCGTCTCCGAGAGTCCCATCCTTGAAGGAAGACACGCGATATTCGTGGAGGCCGCAGATCAACCGGCGAACCCCAGTGAAAGGAGATTCTCCTTGGCTGTTGTCACCGTCGATGTCTTTAGATCCGATGGTGAGAGTCTTTCTCTTCTTCGAGCTGTTTATGGTGAACGGAGAAATTGTTGGTGAATGGCATGAGGTTTATGGTACTTGTTCGACATGAAGATGTGCTGTTTGTATGTGGACATGTGTTCGGGTATGAAGATATGTTGCTCGTATGGGGTTACATCTTGTGGTATGAAGATGTGCTGATATGAGGTCACATCTTCGGGTATGAAGATGTGTTGCTCATATAGGGTTACATCTGCAGGTATGAAGATGTGTGACTCATATAGGATTACATCTTCAAGTACGATGTATTCTTCATGTATGGATTCATTGAAAGTAGGTCGTTTGCTGTCATGATATGTGTGTCATGGGACAGGTTAGTATGGAGGATGTAGGTATAATAGCATTATAGAAATTGTCAATGTGTTCGGCATGTGTGGACACTTTGACAGTAGACTACTTATTATTGTCACGTGTGTAGGCATCTTGTGACAGGTTAATATGGAGGAAGAATAAGTATAACAGCGTTATGAAGACTGTTCATGTGTCCTACATATGTGAACAGTTTGAAAATGGACCTCTTATCGTTATAACGTATTCATATGTGATAGAACGGGTATGAAGGAAGAATGGAAGTATAACAGCGTTATGAAGACTGTTCGTGTGTTCCTCATGTGTGGGTCCCTCTTATTGTTATGATGTATACATATACATTATGTGATACATATGTGATACACATACATATGTATGCATCATGTGATAGGTTAGTATGTAGGAAGAATAAGTATAACAATGTCATGAAGACTCTTGATATGTTCCTCATATGTGGACACTTCATATGTGGATTTCATATGTGAACACTTCATATGTGGACTTCATATGTGGACACTTCATATGTGGATACTTCATATATGGACACTTCATTTGTGGACTTCATATGTAGACACTTCATATGTGGACTTCATATGTGGACACTTCATATGTGGACACTTCATATGTGGATACTTCATATATGGACACTTCATATGTGGACACTTCATATGTGGACTTCATATGTGAATTTCATATGTGGACACTTCATATGTGGACACTTTATATGTGGACACTCCATATGTGGACACTTCATATGTGGACCGGAAGCAGTAATTACAGAAAACAGGTCTCCTGTCAGCTCACAATCCATTTAATTGATTAAACCATCCGATAAAATAAATCTCACCGAGCAGATCCGTCATCGGCATTATCGCAGTTTCTATTTATTCCCTCGGCACGGATCGCAAGAATCTAGAAAACATCCGCGGAAACAGTCTCTCTGTTCGACTGTGGAAATCTCCAAGCTCGTATCTCGAGGGTATTCCTCGAATGTAGCACGGATATTTTCCATGCATCCACCGGCGAGAAAGAAAATCCTAAAATATTTCCACGTCGAGCTGTTCCCCTGGATGTTTCTGTGGCGGAAGAAATTTTTATCGCACTCCAAATGATTCGAGTGCTTGCTCGTTTCTCGAGTATCGGCGACAAATCGTGAATGAAAACGAGTTTCCAGCTTGTTCGTTTGCCGTTTCAGGTCCGGAATCGTTGGAGCCGGACTTTGTTGGGGCTCCGTACGAATTTTGGGTGGGTGCCAATGTTCCTGTTGGCACGAGCGTCGGTCAAATGCGCCTGAACGACGCTGTGAAGACCAACGATCTGATCTATGATCTGCTGCACAGCTACGAGGAAGGAGGTACGTGTTTTATAGGAACTTACTAGATTTTGGGAATTTGGGTATTTGGAAAAAAATTTGAGAAAGGTGACTCAATTTTGGTATTTGGACATTGAGGGATTTGGGGAATGTACTTGGGAACTGAAAGAATTAGGGAATTTTTGTATATAGGAAGTTTAGGGATTTGGGAAATTTCGGTATTCGGAAAATTTAGGGATTTGGGGAATTTTGGTATTACAAAAATTTAGGGATTTGGGGAATTTTGATACTACAAAAATTTAGGGATTTGGGAAATTTTTGTATTAGGGAAATATAGGGACTTGGGAAATTTTGGTATTACGAACATTTTGAGGATTTAGGGAATTTTGATATTACAAAAATTTAGAGATTTGGGGAATTTTTGTATTGCAAAAATCTAGGGAAATGGGGAATTTTGGCACTCCAAATAAATTCCCCCAAAAATTCAAAAATTAATTTCATTAAAATTTCAAACAAACCTAACCCGTTAAAAACTCGTATCTACAAATATCCATTTCCGGCAATATATCAAATATCCATCACGGGCAATAAGGAATGGCGCAACCAAATTTGCCTAATGTCCAGAAGCTCATATGTTCAAGCTATCAAGTTAATATGTAACACATGCTGCATAGATATGTAATGTCATCCATACACATTTTAGTACCATTTGCGGTGGAGGAACGTTCGGGAACGATTACGGTGGTGGACGAGATCGAACGATTCGATAGATCGACCTTCGATTTCGAGGCGGTCGTCACAGACGAAAGAGAGCTGATGTTGATCACCAACGTGTCTATCCACGTGGTGGATCCTAACGACGAGCGTGGAATCTTCACTAAGTAAGTGAAACTTCGGTTCGCCTTATATTGCATTCTAATGAGTGAAACGGGCTTTTGTTTCTACTTGTAACGAGGGAGTCCAGATCGATGTCGGAGATAGCGGAGCTTACGAGGTTACGTTACCTAGCCTTAATCGCTTCGAGGTGAAATTTTGTCAAGGCAAAATTATCGAGATGAAGGATCCATGTATATTGCCGTTTTCAGAATTTTCTTTATTTATGCTTATTGGCAATATAATGTTTCCACGTTCCAGAAATATCAAATTCCAAAATTTGCAAATCAAAAAATTCACTAATTCCAAGATTCGTAAATCCCAAAATTCCCTAGTTCCCACCTTTCCAAATTTCAAAATTCCCTAGTTTCCACCGTTCCAAATTCCAAAATTCCTTAGTCCCAATATTCTCTAGTTCCCACTTTCTCGAATTCCGAAATTCCCTAGTTCCCACCGCACAAAATCCCCAAATCCCCTAGTCCCAAAATTCCCTAGTTCCCACCTTTCCAAATTCCAAAATTCCGTAGTCCCAAAATTCTATATTTCCCAACTTCCCAACTTCCCAAATCCCAAAATTCACTAATTTTCATCTCCTCAAATTCCAAAATTTCCTAGTCTCAAAATTCTCTAGTTTCCGCCTCTCCAAATTCCAAAATTCTCTAGTTCCAATATTCTCTAATTCCCACCTTCTAAAATTCCAAAGTTCCCTAGTTCCAATATTCTCTAGTTCCCACCTTCTCAAATCCCAAGATTCCCTAGTTCCAATATTCTTTAGTTCCCACCTTTTCAAATCCCAAAATTCCCTAGTTCCAATATTCTCTAGTTTCCACCTTCTCAAATCCCCAAATCCCCTAGTCCCAAAATTCCCTAGTTCCCACCTTTCCAAATTCCAAAATTCCGTAGTCCCAAAATTCTATATTTCCCAACTTCCCAACTTCCCAAATCCCAAAATTCACTAATTTTCATCTCCTCAAATTCCAAAATTTCCTAGTCTCAAAATTCTCTAGTTTCCGCCTCTCCAAATTCCAAAATTCTCTAGTTCCAATATTCTCTAATTCCCACCTTTTCAAATCCCAAAATTCCCTAGTTCCAATATTCTCTAGTTTCCACCTTCTCAAATCCCCAAATCCCCTAGTCCCAAAATTCCCTAGTTCCCACCTTTCCAAATTCCAAAATTCCGTAGTCCCAATATTCTGTAGTTCCCAACCTCCTAAAATCCCAAAATTCCCCAGTTCCCACCTCCCAAAATCAAAAAAATTCCTAGTCCCAATATTCTGTAGTTCCCAACCTCCTAAAATCCCAAAATTCCCCAGTTCCCACCTCCCAAAATCCCAAAATTCTCTAGTCCCACTCTCTAATTCGCACCTTCCCAAATTCTGAAATTCGCTAGTCCAACTCAAATCCCAAATCTCCAAAAATTAAAAATACCACGAATCCTCTATCCACCTAAACCAAAATGCCAATTATTCCTCTCAAGGCCCAAAGTTCGATCGAAAGTTCGTAGTATCCGAACTCGGTTAAACTAGCTGCCGCTGTTGCTCCCCAACAATCGATACGTTGACTCGGTTTCGGTAACTCGAGCCGAACTCGGTCCGTGAAAGGTCAAAAGTCGACGGCACTGCGGAATTCACTGTTTGCTTATCCGAAAGTCGATGGCCGTTGATTGCAGGGGAACGACCACCGCCCCTCTCGTCTTCCACGCGAAGGAGAACGTTCCTGGCACGTATATCGGGCAAGTGCTTCCGCAGAATGCCACCGGATCGACCACCACCGGCACCCACTTTTTTATCGTCAATCAACAGGATGTGCCCGATATCTCGATCACGGAGGACGGCTCGCTATATGCTCCTCGAGGTCTCGATAGGGAGACCAAGCAGAATTACAGCATCACTGTCATTGCTGAGAGTCCGAGAGGGGTTGGAGTCTTTCAAGTAAGTACGAATTTTTGTTACTTGGTAATTCTTTTATGGGAATTTTATGGGGACTGCTGAGATTAATGATTGCGATGGGCAGAGTTTCGTTATATGGCCGCGGTTGAAGGTGGAGCACCGAGATAAGATGATGTAGAGGAGTACAGTTTCGCTATATGGTCACAGTTCGGGTGGAGGAATGAGACAAAATCGTGTTTGCGAGTATAGTTTCGTTATATGGCCGCGGTTAGGATTGGACTACTGAGGTAAGGTTGGGTTTGCGATGAGCAGAGTTTCGTTATATGGCCAAGGGTGAGGTAAAAAACTAAGACAAGGTCGTGTTGGTGGTGTTGGTCGTGATTTCGTTATATGGCCGCACGTGAAAATTTGAATGCGTTGAAATTGTTTGTCAAAATTACAAAGCATTATAACGGGGAATTATCGAACTTACAACGCATTATAAGGATGATTTATCAAATTATAAAAAGAGCAAATTTGTTAAACAACAATTCAACACAAAATAAAAATAGCAAATCAGAAATTTGTCAAATGACAATAACAAAATGTTTGAAAATTGAATTTTATAAGGATTGATACACCAAATAATTTGATCATTCTATCGAGAGAAATAAATTCCGTTCTTTCAGCTAGATTTATTTCCTCTTTCTTCCCGTTTATTTATTTCCGACGTGAACCGTATACTGTTACCAAATGAGATATCTGCTAAGTAAGTCTCAGCTATCAGTTTGAAGGGGGTGCGATCGTGCGATGGGGTTCGTGGATCTCGTTAAACAGCACTTAAGGAGATTTTCTTTCGGACTGAAAGTAACGTGAAATTGATAGCGGTCGTTCGTTTTCCGGGCAAAGGATCGAGTAGGGACAAGAAACTCTTTCACCTAAGGATCTCGCTGAAACTGTAAATATACTCTCGCAAAAACTACCAAAAAGATAAATTATTGTGAAACTGAAACTTTATTTACAATCATTAGACAGAAATAATTAACTCTCTCTATGAATCGGCAACATTCGTTTGGGGATTACACGATTTAACGAAATAAGACTTTCTTTATATGTGTTCATAAGTTTAGGATTATTTTTATAAGCAGTTTGTTCCTCAATAGATTCTGATATACAGGGTGTCTCACAATTAGTGAGTGATACTTCCTGGTAATTCGATGCGTGGTGGACTCAGCGCATGGTAATTTGATCTATAGTATTTCGATGCGTGGTAGTTTCAGCGCATGGTAATTCGATTCATAGTAATTCGATGCGTGGTAGTCTCAGCGCGTGGTAATTCGATCCATAGTAATTCGACGCGTGGTAATTCGATGCGTGATAGTCTCAGCGCGTGGTAATTCGATGCCTGATAGTTTCAGCGCGTGGTAATTCAATCCATAGTAATTCGACGCATGGTAATTCGATGCGTGGTAGTCTCAGCGCGTGGTAATTCGATCCATAGTAATTCGATGCGTGGTAATTCGATCCATAGCAATTTGACGCGTGGTAATTCGATGCGTGGTAGTCTCAGCGCGTTGTAATTCCACCCATAGTAATTCACTAATAAGTGTAGATCCCTGAAAACAAAAAAACTTAACTCTCTGTTCTTTTAATTTAAAAAATAATTTCTTGAGTTCTCATAATTTATATCATACTTTATCAAACATACAAATAAAATAGACCATAACTTTCTGATATCCATTCTTCAACCCTAAACAAAATTTTCTCTACAAAGTAAAGTGCTTACTAAATTGAGATCTTGACCTAATTTTTACAAGCGTCATAAACTTCAAGATTCTTAAAGAATCCTCCCTTTCTGTGTCATCCTCACAACTGATACACCGATCCGTTTGACAGCAGGTGTTGAAAATATCGTCCTTGCGTCGCACTATGTTTGCAGATACAAGTTTCGGGATATTCGGCCATTGGAGCTAATAGAAGTTCCAAGGACCAAGGGATGACGCGCGAAATTTTTAATTTAAAAAATTCGAACGAAGGCCGTGCTTCTGTACTTCGTTCAAGGACCCATTGTTGTCGAAGCAAATTTCAACTTTCGGCGTCCCGTCGTTTAGAGCCTTTGAAACATTCAATGTTACAGATGCATCACATTTCTATGCATTATTCATACTACATTTATAACATTTCTCATGTTCATTCACTTGCATGAGGACATTAAATTAAATGAGTAAAATAAAATAATATGAAGCAGTGTAGTTTTCACACATCACTGATATCATCAAAATGGTCGACAAATGGTTGTCCAGCACAGAGATTTACTAGACTAGCTAACTAACTAAAAATTGTCCACATAATCTACAAATTTCAGGTGACAGTGATCGTCCTAGACGAAAATGATCATCCACCAGAGTTCACAATGCCTTTATACGAAGGCACAATCCTGGAGAACAGTCCAGCAGGCACAAAAGTGAACCTGTCGAATCCCATCGCGGCTACCGACAAAGACGAGGGTGTGAATCAGAACTTCGTGTTCAGTTTGTACGGCGAGGGTAGCGAGCTTTTCAGAATTCATCCGACGACCGGTTTGGTATACTTCGAGGGAATCGATGATCGTACACTGGACAGAGAGGCGAGATCAAGCTACAACTTCACGATCGTCGCTAAAGATAATGGTGAGTTTTCTACTTCTTAGCAACTACGGGAACTGAAATTAGTTCGGAAAGTAGCAAACAGAAGTTTCAAGCGTGTTTAACGTTCTATTATGCGTGGAGGAATGCAATCGTAAAGTTTCAATGCTCGCCGAACGTAATACGGTAGCAAACTTTTATGAGCGAATGTGACTTCATTTTACTTTTCCTTCTTTTCGAAGTTTATGTAGGGTAGCTGCTTCAATTTCGTGCGATTCGATACGGTTTAACTGGGGATAGCACCTTGTGTATGTATGAAAAGAATGTATGTATGTTTCAGGCATCTGTCTATTATGTACGTTTCCACATATGTACGTATATATGTGTGTTTCTCTGCACCTTTCTATATGTATGTTACTACATATGTACCTATGCATGTACGTTTTCACATATGTACTTATGTATATATGTTCCTCTGCACCTCTCTATATGTATGTTACTACATATGTACCTATGCATGTACGTTTCCACATAAGTACGTATATATGTGTGTTCCTCTGCACCTCTTTATATGTATGTTACACATATGTAGCTATGCATGTATGTTTCTACATATGTACTTATGTATGTGTGCTCCTACATATGTACTTATGTGTGTATGCTCCTACATATGTACTTATGTAAGTATGTTCCTACACATGCACCTATGTATGTGTGTTCCTCTGCATCTCTGTATATGTACGTTTCTACATATGTGCCTACATATGTACCTATGTATGTATGTTCCTATATATGCATCTACATATTTACCTATATATGTATGCTCCTACACATGCACCTATGTATGTGTGTTCCTCTGCATCTCTGTATATGTACGTTTCTACATATGTGCCTACATATGTACCTATGTATGTATGTTCCTATATATGCACCTACATATTTGCCTATATATGTATGCTCCTACACATGTACCTATGTATGTGTGTTCCTCTGCATCTCTGTATATGTACGTTTCTACATATGTGCCTACATATGTACCTATGTATGTATGTTCCTATATATGTATCTACATATGTACCTATGTATGTATGTTCCCATATACCTATCTATATGTACGTTCCTACATATGTACCTATGCATATATGTTCCCACATGTTATGCATGTGGTGCCTATATGATACTCCTCTTTCGACAACTTGCATACAGTAAAAATTTCAAATTGTTCAACTAGAAAGTAAACGATAGTTGACTAACAACAGAGAGCCCATGTTTTTTCCAGACCACATAATCTTCACATACGCAATGTTTCAGGAGGTCTCTCCTCAGAATCAAGGTTAACGATAACAGTAACCGACGTGAACGACAATCCTCCCAGCTTCATACGAATGATCGTGCTACCGGACCAGGGTGTTCGCGTCTCAAACGAGCCAGATATCGAGTCGCCACAGTTCGAAGGGAACGACGTGCTCGACATGATCGAGCCAGCCACCGGAAGTGGCCTTCCAAGCAGTCGTCGTTCTCCTCTTCTTCTCGTCCCGGAGAACGCGACGATCGGTGCGCCGATAATACGACTGCTAGCGGAGGACAAGGACGAGGGCGGGAACGCCGCGATAACGTACAGTTTGGGGAACGAGACGACTTCCGGTGAGGACGTTAGGCGAAGATTCGACAAGACCAACCGTCGATACTTCCATCTGGATCCGAGGTCGGCGGAGATATCGGTGGCCAGAGGTCTCCCAGCTGAGAGCAATATTCGTTTACTGGTGATGGCTAAGGACCCGGGTGGACTCGCGGATAATATCACTATTAGAATCCATGTGGAGGACGTGAACGACCACCCGCCTATCTTCGACAAGTCCTGGTACACGTTCGACGTGCCTGAAGGCACCTATGCAGGCTATACCCTGGGTACCGTGCAGGCTGTTGATTCTGACTTCGGAGCTAACGCAAACGTCAGCTATGAGTTGATACCAGGCAACGAGGATTTGGAGGACGGCCGATCCTTTGAGATTGCTCCCTATCAAGGGACCATCAGAGTCAGCGGCGTCCTCGACAGGGAGACAGCACCAACCCACCGGCTGCTGGTGATGGCTCGAGACAGCGGCATGCCGCAGCTGACCTCCACCGTGGAGGTCGAAGTGAACGTTCTGGATGTGAACGACAATGCACCTATGTTCTTCGGGTACGAGGAGGTCGAGAAGGACGAAAATGGTGACCAGCTGCCAGTTTACCTCGCCTCGGTCTTCGAGAATAGTCCCATAGGTAGTCAGGTGATCAAGGTGCACGCTAACGACACGGACTTCGCAGGAAATGGCAATGGTCTGATCCTGTTTGATCTGAGTCACCAAGGCCATCCTGAGAAGCAGTACTTCGCTATCGATAGCAAGGAAGGCACCATCACGACCATCGGCACCTTGGACTACGAAGTCCAGAAGACTCATCGGTTGACTGTCACCGCCAGCGATCTGGGTACTCCTCTCAGTCTGACGTCCACGGCTGTGGTCATCGTCACGGTACTCAACGTCGACGATGACGAAGAGGACGCCGAGAACGAGGTACACAAGAGCCCCTCCTTCAGACATCGGTATTACGAAGTGGAAATCGAAGAGAACGTCCCTGTGCCCGTTATGGTTGCTCAGTTGGATGTGGCCGATGGACAACAAGGGGAGCACATCAGGTACAGCATCGTCGCCGACGATACGGAAGCTAGACAGCACTTCTCGATCGACCCGAAGAACGGCTCGCTGTATTTGATGACGGACGTGGACAGAGAGGTGAACGATCGATACGAGGCCAAGGTCAGAGTTGACAGGGTGAAGATTGGTCGCGGGATGCCTGTGATGATCTACCCGGTTGTCGGTGAAAGGCTGAATGGCCTAGCACCTAACGAGGCCAGGGTCGTTGTCAGGGTGAAGGATGTGAACGACAATGCGCCCAGATTCAAGTCAAAGGGCAGACCCATCTTAGCTGCGGTACCCACTACTGCACATTATGGATATGAGGTCGTCAAAGTGGAGGTACGGAGATGGCAATTCTGTCGCAATAACTTTGTTTATTTGGTCTTTTGTACTTAGTTCGTTTTGGGATTTTGGACTTTTGGGTCTTGGGATATTGGGATTTAGCTTAGGACTTTTGGATGTTAGGTCTTTAGGATTTTAGGACTTTTGGACTTTAGATGTTTAGGACTTCTGGATCTTTAGACTTAATGATTTAGTTTAGGACTTCTGGGTTTTAGGTCCTTAGGACTTTAGGACTTTTGGACTTAGCTTAGGACTTTAGGATTTGTGGACTTATTGTTAGTTTAGAACTTTTGGACCTCATGATTTATGGACTTATTGTTAGCTAAGAACTATCGGATCATAAGTCTTAGTACTTCAGGATGACTCTTTGAAATCCTCCAAACATCTCTGGCTCTCAAAGTCATCATTCTTACAAGTCACATCTCTGAACATAAATACCTAGAAGCTTCGGCCATGTTCAGATATCATCTGATTATTCCTAGACATTCACAGCTTGCCAAAGTAATTAAAAATTTGCTGAAAGGGAAAGAGCAATTAATTTTGAGACGTCATTTGCTTAATAGTCTATTTCACGCGCTATAACGATTTTGAATTCCATTCAAAAGGCGAGAAGTAACGCAATTAATCACTCGACAGGCGGAAGATCCAGACGAGGGAGCAAACGCCGAGATTCGTTACCAAATTCTTGGCCGGGAAGACGCGCCGCGATTCGCCATTGACCCACTGAGCGGTCAAGTACGATCGGTGGCGAGTTTTGGCCGCGATGCTGGACGAGTTTTCGGCTTCGACGTGAAGGCCACCGACAGACGGGGCGCCGAGAATGGCCGCAGCAGCATCGCCAATGTCTTCGTAAGTCTTCGAAAACTTTTGCACAGTATTCTTTCCTGGCGTTCTTAACACTTTATCGACGAAAGATGTTGTCCTGCGACGGATTGAACATGTGTCATCCGTTATGGCTCACATAAAACATCTTGGTCTCCGAAATACTACTCTCACATGATTTAACTTTCATCTGGATATGACAAACTGAAAAACTCTAGTCCAGGGAAACCCAAATTTTTCCAGCAGAATACAGGATTCTTGAATCGTCTCAGAAGTCTTCAATCTGGGCTAAAAAAGAATAGTTTTTCAGGAATATCTCGGTATATATTAGATCTACGAACAAAATGGTTATTATCTAATTTGTAGTTTGAGCAATTCTCTACAAAAAAGGTTCTATAGACTTTTTTCATGGAGCTGACCATTTTCGTGTATGATAACTTAATTTGTTTCAACTCTCAGATCTAAAACGTGCACTTGTGTGTACATAACATATTATCTCGGAAAAGGTTACTCCTACGGAGAAAATGTATAGAACCTTTTTTATAGAGAACTTCATAGACTACAAATTTGGTAATAACTATTTTTGTCGTACAACTGATAAATAACGAGTTATTTGCAGAAAAGTATTTTCTTTCATGGATCTTTCAACAACATCCACATAAATGTGAATTTTTTCACATTTATATAGTTTTTTTCTTATCGTGTTTGTTTAAAGGTGTACGTGTTGGATGATCAAAAGCAGGTCGTGATGGTAGTTGGTCGAAGACCCATGGACATAGAGCCCCAACTGGAGAACATCACTGCGTAAGTATAACGGAGCTTGTTGAATAGCTTCTATCCGAAAGCTGACAGCTTTACCTACCTGCTAGTTTCACCGTGATATTTGTGTTTCTGATAGAAGGGTGTTTTAGGAAGAGCGTGTTCTGCTTGTTAAGGTTTAATTAATGGGGTGAAAGGCTCGTTGTACGGAGCGGGTGGTATGTTTGATTGTGATCGGTGAAGTAGGTCAAGCGTGTAGAATCATTTCGATTTATTTCACTTTTGGAGGAAAGATTGTTAAAACGTGTGGTACTTAAAATGAGAAGGCTTGGATTCAAATTTTAGACATTTTTAATTTTATGTGAATTCATCTAAACGTATTTAACAGCTTTAATTATTTAAAGCAATATTTTATTTAAATTAAGAACTTCATAATTTTGTTGCGAAGGGTGTTGCAAAATGTGACCGGTTTGGATGTTCGAGTGAGGAAACTGGAACCACACATTGAAAAGAATCTGATTGATACCACATCGTGAGTAATGTAACTCATCTTTATAAACTTATTAGAAGAATTAATTATGTGAAATAAGTATTTTATATTTCCAGTACCGATGTTTATTTGTATGCCATTGATCCTCACTTAAATGTGATGATAGATATGGATACCCTGCACAAGTAAGTCATTAACAATTAATCAATAAAATCAAACATATAATGAAAATTTGAAGTAGTAGATGAAAATTTCTTCTAACATAAAATATTGAATTTCTTTGTTGAATTATTTTCAATTTAAATTACATTGCTGATTGCTATAAATTAATGTTAAAATTGTCACAAATGTTGCTTATAATTAACAATTTTTATGTATAAATATTAATAAAAATGAGTGAATAAAAAAATAGCAAGGAGCTACTGTATTGGATACTGATTATATTTAATTTTTGCAGCGTGTTCAACACAAAGAAAATGGACATCAAACGCGAGTTGGACGAGTACGATGTTCTGGACATCGCCGGAAGTTCTCCACGTCGGGGTAGCCAACGATACCTGTTGTCAACCCTCGAAGTGGGTGTGGTGGTACTCGGATGTGTCGTCTTTGTGGGTGCTCTTGTCACTGCTCTCTGTGTCACGTGTGTTCGTCGAAATAAACGGTATGGATCATACACTCTCTCTGTAATACTATTCAAATCTCACGACATCTAATATTATACACAATTTACCTTTTCCATATTTTCAAATTCCTAAATTCCTTAAGGGTGTCATCATCACATTTTTAAAAAAGTTCATTTCAAACCTTCATATGAGTGTAATATTCTTCATGAATCATCCTGTACATATCAGATTTTATCATTATATTAAAAAAAAATATGAAATTTCAAATTTTGTGGACCAATGTCAACACATATTTTGTAACATCCTGTACATATCACACTTCATCATTGAATCTTAAAAAAAAAATTTTGTTATATAATTATGTCTTATGGACCAGTATGAACATACATTTTGTAACATCCTGTACATATCAGACTTCATGATTGAATGTTTAAAAAAGTATTTTGTTATAAAATCTGATGAACCATTGTCAACATTCATCATGAAATGTTCTGTACATATCAGACTTCATCACTGCATTTCTGGAAAAATATTTTGTTATATAATTATGTCTTATGGACCAATATGAACATACATTTTGTAACAGCCTATACATATTACTTCATCATTGCATCTCTACAAAACTGTTTCCTGATAAAAACCCATGTCATATGAAGCAGTGACACTTACCACACAACACTTATTGCGTAGCACCTTATACATAACACACTTCATCATTACATCTCCGAAAGACTATATCCTAATAAAATTCCATGCCATATGAAACAGTGACATCGTGTAACACCTATTGTGTAACACCCTGTACATAAAACACCTCAACATTACATCTTCAAACAACTATTTCTTAATAAAATTCCACGTCATATGAAACAGTGATACTTACCGTGTAACACCTATTGTGTATCACTCTGTACATAACACACCTCACCACATTTCCAAGAAACTGTACCCAAATAAAATCCCATATCTTCAGAATCAGAAAGACTTATCGTTTCACCCTGCCCACATCATTGTATCTTTAAATTTATACCCAAACCCCATATTTAAATGTCAATAACTTACCAAGTCGTGTAACCTTGACTCCATCACTTATTTCACCCCAAAAAAAGTATTCCTATAGAACCTCACGCTTGGTAAAATCCCGTATATTATAGAAACCACGTAGCAATATAAGAGTCTAGACCCGATAAAGTCTCCCAGAAAGAAGTTAGCCTGTTTTTCGAGTAGCATTTTCCGATACAAACGATCGATTGTAACCCGAACGAACGAATTTCACCCGTTAGTCGCAGACGTCGGGAGAAAGCAATGTTCTCGACCACCAGCCCGATTGGATTCGCTTTGGCAGATCCGGCCGCAACGTTGCAGAAGCCGCCTCTGTTCCCGACCTTCGTGGACGGCCTTCATTACGACCCTGAACCATTCTGCACCGACATGCCGAGGCGACAGAGCATCTGCGAGCACGGAGCCAACTGTGCTCGCTTCCACGCGTAAGTCCGTTAATTGATGTGCAGCTGTTTTGTTAGGGTCTCACCGCGATGCTTCATTGTCATACGTATTAACAATTCGAGATAGGAGGCAGAATCGCGTCTATGGATGGCCTGTCTACACCTTAGAACGCCGGTCTCAGATCTTCAAGGTAGCCCACTTGAACGAACAACAATTTTCTATGAATCGGAGACACACGTTTGGTGATTACACGATTTAACGAAATAAGACTTTCTTCGTATGTGTTCATAAGTTTAGGTTTATTTTTATAAGCAGTTAGTTCCTTAATAGATTCGGATATACAGGGTATCTTATAATTAGTGAGTGATAATTCGTGGTAATACGATGCGTGGTGGTCTCAGCGCATGCTAATTTGATCTACAGATATTCGATGCGTGGTAGTCTCAGCGCATGGTAATTCGATTCATAGTAATTCGATGCGTGGGAGTCTCAGTGCATGGTAATTCGATCCATAGTAATTCGACGCGTGGGAATTCGATTCATAGTAATTCGGCGCGTGGTAATTCGATGCGTGGTAGTCTTAGCGCATGGTAATTCGATGCGTGGTAGTCTTAGCGCATGGTAATTCGACGCGTGGCAATTCGACGCGTGGTAATTCGACGCGTAGTATTTCGATGTGTGGTAATTCGATGCATGGTAATTCGACGCGTAGGAATTCGACGCGTGGTAATTCGACGGCGTGGTAATTCGATGCGTGGTAGTCTCAACGCATGGTAATTCGATCCACAGTATTTCGGCGCGTGGTAATTCGATGCGTGGTAGTCTCAGCGCATGGTAATTCGGCGCGTGGTAATTCGATGTGTGGTAGTCTCAGCGCATGGTAATTCGACGCGTGGTAATTCGATGCGTGGTAGTCACAGCGCGTGGTAATTCGATCCATAGTATTTCGGCGCGTGGTAATTCGATGCGTGGTAGTCTCAACGCATGGTAATTCGATCCATAGTATTTCGGCGCATGGTAATTCGATGCATGGTAGTCTCAGCGCGTGGTAATTCGATCCATAGTAATTCGACGCGTGGTTATTCGATCCATAGTAATTCGATGCGTGGTAATTCGATGCGTGGTAGTCTCAACGCATGGTAATTCGATCCACAGTATTTCGGCGCGTGGTAATTCGATGCGTGGTAGTCTCAACGCATGGTAATTCGATCCACAGTATTTCGGCGCGTGGTAATTCGATGCGTGGTAGTCTCAGCGCGTGGTAATTCGATCCATAGTAATTCGACGCGTGGTAATTCGACGCATGAGTATCAACGCTTGGTAATTCGATGCGTGGTAGTCTCAGCGCGTGGTAATTCCACCCATAGTAATTCACTAGTCAGTGAGGTCCCTAAAATCGGGGATAGCTGACGTGATTCTAAATAAGATTTCTCTTTGCAAAAATGGGGTTTGAAATGTGTTTTTCCTTAATAATTCAAAAACGAATCTTCAAACCCCATTTTTGCAAAGGGAAATTTTATTCAGAATCACGTCAGCTACCCCCCATTTCAGGGACCTACACTGATTGTGAGACACCCTGTATACTGATATGGGAGATGTGATATTTTTTTAGTGATTAATTTATACTAATTGAGTTTATCGATTGATTGATTGGTAACATAAGGACAGATATAATATTCTTTTAAATTATAGTTAGTGTGCAATAATAAATTCATAAACGACCTGCTATTATTTCACCAACAGTTTATATTTAATAATTGTTAAATTTAATAAATATTTAAAAAATATTAACTTCGTTGATAGTAAGAAATAGAAGACTTCCTAATTAATTTTAGAAAATTTTCTTCTGCTCTTTTTTGTGGGGCCCCGTAGCTCCCTTTAAGAGTACGTCAGTGGTTACACGTATAGGTGTACGTTTCGCATGGTTCGATTTTAATTTCGAATTTATGCTGATGCTTCTTTGAGTCTAAAAACGGCGCCAGTGTAAATGGGACAGGTGTGAGGTACATCAGATGTGAAAAGTCACCTTCTGTTTCAACTTTAAAATTTCCTTTTTTCTAAACATTCAGTTATTGAATTTGGGAAATGAATTTTATTGTTCATTTTTTTTAACATTTTGTCAAAGTGATCATATCTATTAATTTTTATTTAGATAATTACTTAATTAATTGATACATTATTAACAAATATTGATTGAACTGAATTTATTCACTAAATTCATCTTATTATCCAAAAAAAATTTGACAATCAATTATGTCAAGAATAAATCATCCAAATAAACAAAAATCATTCATCGCATCTTGAAGTTGATCTTCCATCCACAAATCAATAGAAAAGTTACTTTAAAAAACTCCGTGCACATCGATCGCGATCTAAGCGAAGTAATTAACAATATTTTGAACGTTTCAACAGCTTTAATAATTGAAAATGACAATTGCGAGCTGATTGAAATGAAAAAAGTTTTAATTAGAAGTGGGAACATACGTATTAACGGTAAAACAAATTGCTTTGGAATAGCAGTTGCGATATTGATCGCAGCAGTAGTAAAAGCAGCTGCAAGTAGTATAACTCGTTTGTAGTCAGGCGAGATTGCTGGCCAGTCCGATGTTTATAGAATTGCGTCCACAATTTTCACTCCTCTATATTCGCATACGGGAACGATCGTTCGTTTACTGTTTCCCGAATTAGTCGCAAAAATTTTCACAGATTTTCAATTTTTTAAAGCTGGTGACACAATGGTAGAGATATTTCAAAATTTATGAAAAATATCGTGTGGGTTGTATTGGGAGAAAAAAAAGGATGATTGTAGGAAATGGTCAATTTTGGGAGTGAATGAAAAGAAACGTTTATGTTGCAAATTTAAGAATTTTCTGTTTCCCAATTTTTCAATTTTTCAATTATTCAATTTTTCAATTTTTCAGTTTTTCAGTTTTTCAATTTTTCAATTTTTCAGTTTTTCAATTTTTCAATTTTTCAATTTTTCAATTTTTCAATTTTTCAATTTTACAATTTCCAATTTTCCAATTGTCCATTTTTCTAATTTTCCAACTTCCCTATTTTCCAATTTTCCAATTTTCCAATTTTCCAATTTTCCAATTTTCCAATTTTCCAATTTCCCAAATTCCCAAATTTCTAAATTCCTAAATTCCTGAATTCTCAAGTTTCCAAATTCCCAAAGTCCCCAAATTTCCAAATTTCGAAATTTCGAAATTCCCAAATTCTCCAATTCCCAAATTCTCCAATTCCCAAATCCCCAAATTCCCAACTCACAAGTCCCCAAATCCCCAATTCCCTGAATCCCCAAATCCCCAAATCCCCAAATCCCCAAATCCCCAAATCCCCAAATCCCTAAATCCTTAAATACCCAAATTCCCAAATTTCTAAATTTCCAAATTTCCTCATTCCCAAATATTCAAATTTCTAAACTAAAAAATACCTCAATTTTCCCCAGATCTCCCCTCCCCCAAATCCCCCAAATTCCCACATACTTGCAAATCGCAACATCCTAATCATCTCCACTTAATAAACCCTCACTTCGAACAAATCCCTCACCAAATTGCGAAATTGGCCATTTCCCACGATAATCCTCCGAGCAAACGCAAACAACTGGTCGGAGATGTCCGTGGTAGTCGTGGAATGAAATAAAAACCGCGACAAGGAAGGAATGCATTTATTATGAAGGCATTCCTCGGGCGGCAAGGTCGTCCGGCAATATACCAAATACTGTATCAGGGAATTCCCATATCTTTCGCGATGTCGATGCTAGAGACGGCGGGGGGGGTTG